ATGAAGGGGAAATGGAGCTTCTCTTGCCGGCTACCTTCTCTGGCCAATCAATACCCTTTTTAGGCCGATTTCTACGATTTATTCACCCCGCAAAAGAAGTCTGGTGGAGACTATATGACTGACCGCACCAGCCATCGCCACCGACAAGACAGACGAGAAATAGATGTTTCACACACAGATGCCACAACATGTGTACGGTCAAACTCTCGACATCTGACAGGCCTGACATCTGAGGGGACAGTGCATTATGTACAGCCGCGAGGGGAGGAGAGTGTCCTTTTTGCTTTAAACTTTAATATCTTTGACTCATCATGCATTTCCACAACTCGGAGATTTCAGACTTCCAGGAAATAGTTTGGTTTTCGTGATATTCTAGTTCGCTAGCAATAGGAACTATCCGATTGTATGATGAAATTCAATAGGGTATTACACTACTTCCTGATAGCGCGCCCACTTTATACTCCCAGCTGGCACATGCTGGGTCACCTTCAGGCGTGACCTCCCTGTCAATCAACTGTCAGAATCACCTCCCACCCACCTTGCAGCCGAAGCTAATAGTACAAGTTATTGGGCCCTTGTTGTATACAGAACGATGCTCTCCAGGCAGAGGTTTGGGTTTTTGGTTGGGTGAAAAAAACTTCCAGTGCAAAAAATGAAACCCCGATAAAAAAAGCCTAAAACACGCCAAAAATAACCCAAACCTCTGCTTGGGGAGTATTAGAACAATGCCTATCTAGTTCTATGCTTGAATGGGTTATAACATGGAGGTAGAAAAAAGAGGTTCTGCCTCCATGGTTATACTTATAGGATTGGTTTAGGCACGGTTCTTGACATAGTCTCTAGCCTCTCTACCAGGCTTCGGGAAATGTCTAGAAAGTAGAAATTGGCCAAATAGACATAACATGTCAGGGGAGTTGTTCCGCTCAAGAGTACAGTTTGTCGCCAACTGAGCGGCACTTGAAGCGTACTTCTAAGTTCTAGCGGACCAACTCCCCTGGCATGTTATCTGTCTATTCAAGTTGGCCAATTTCTACTCTTTCCAGCTGCTTACCGAAGCCTGGTAGAGGCTACGTCTTTGGGACAGTCTTTCCACATAAGACACAAAAGAAAGATATCTGGATGGTCTAGAGAAATGGATTTTATTACTGACAACATATTTGGAGTAATGCCTGACTGTAAGGATGACAAATTTACTGTGTTGTTACTGCCTTGATCAACTTTCCACGATGGCATATTTTAACACCCCATAAATTGATAACAAGTGCGGTACCAGACCCAGCCTCTACCCAGCTGTTGGGTCAAGGTAGCCTCTACCAGGCACCGCGGATCGCTGGAAAAATAGTAGAAATTGGCCGAAATAAAGGGATAGTATACCAGAGAAGATCC